TTTATATATATATATATATATATATATATATATATATGAAAATTTGAAAATCTTTAAAATTGATTGTCCAAAATTACGTTACAAGATACAAAATTTTCAGATCTTGAAATCTATTTTTTTCTATGTCCATACATCTTGAAATCTATTTTTTTCTATGTCCATAGATCTATTTTTTTTGAGGTTATCCATAATTTTCCCTTATTAACAGAAAAAATAACTCTCATGTATCTCTCAATAAAACAATAACTATCACACATACTCAATAAAACAATAACACAATAACTCTCACACATAATAAAACAATAACTCTCACGTATCTCTCAATAAAACAATAACTCACACATAAGTATACTGTATTCTCTCCTCTCTCCACATTCTCAATCTCTTTTTTTTGGGCATAATATTAACGCTTGACACAAGAATGTTAAGATCAATCCAAAAACCACAACACACATACTCAATAAAAGAAAAACAATAACTCTCAGTACACTGTATTCTCCTCTCTCTCCACATTCTCATTCATGAATGAATAACGGATCTCTTTTTTTGGGCATAATATCTCTAGCGCTTGAAACAAGAATATTAACATTCTAAGTTAAGATCAATGCAAAACTCACAAAATCCATGGCATTAAATAGTGGATTCATGTATAGAGAGACAAAAAAGAGAAGAGAAATAGGCAAAGAGATAGAACAATGAAAGAAAAAAAAAACCAAGAGATATAGGATAAAACCATGAAAAAGGAAAAGATAACGAAACGAAGAAAGATGAATAAATAGAGAGAGAAAATCAAAGAAAAAATAAGCCCCTAGAGAGAGAAACAAAGAAAGAGAAATAGGTAGAGAGATAAAACCAGGAAAAACAAAGAGAAACACATATAGAGAAACAAAGGAAGATGAAGGCGTACAGAGATAGAACTATGAAACAAAAAAATAAATCCATAGAGAGAGAAACAAACAAACAGAAATAGGCAGAGAGATAAAACGATGGAAAAGAAAAGGAAACTTGTAGAAAGAGGGATATGTAGAGAGAGAAGAGAAACAAAGAAAGAGGTATATGTAGAGAGAGAAAACCATGAAAGAACAAAAGGAAGTCTTAGAGAGAGAAAGGTAGAACAGTAGAGAGAGAAACTATCAAAGAAATAAGAAACTGACCTGAAATTCCAATATCATAACCAAATATGAGCCCTCCTGAGGCCGCAACTATACAGGTCATAAGCACAAAAGCTGTTGTTTTCCCCGGATAGTTTTTGATCTGCCCATTATTTGCAACAATACCTCCAGCCATGGCTCTCTTCTTCCTCTCTCTCTCTCTCTCTAGCTCTTCCTCAAGCTTTCTTCTTTCTCTCTCAAGAGAGGGATCCCGATCTCTCTCTCTCTCTCTAACCAGAAACTCTCTTCTCTCTCTCTAGCTCTTCCTCGATCTTTCTCTCGGCATTCAGCAAAAATAAAGTACGATCTACTCTTTGAAGAAGACACCTCTTTATATAGTTACTTATCATGTTTCCCAACCCGATAAACTTCGTGCTCAAATCACAAGATAAAGATGCAAGTAACAGCGTGTTCCCAACACAATAAAACTCTTCGTGCTCAAATCACAAGATAAAGATATAGGTTACAGCGTGTTCAA